AAAGTGACTGCAAATAAAGCTATTTATATTATATTATATTTTTAATGTTTAAAATTGAAACGTGTTTATAACTGACTTTTTCATTAATTTTGGATTCTTTTTTTTTTTTAATTTTTCACATGCAGTGCATTCTGGGATTTTTTTCTGTAAGGATACATGCGATGCTGTTGTAGGATTTGGCCAAAACCATCATTTTTATTAGTTATTAATTATTTTTGCATATCTTCATGTCAGGAGGGAATGATGCCTTATAAAGACATACTCGGCGAAAAGGAGACGTTCAAAACTAACACTCTCATAATGTTTGCAAAATAATAAACAACCTACTTACTGTTTTCACTAACATTCACATAACCAAGAAAAAGTGTTTTTAAAACAGGACATAACTTAACATGTTTTTACCTCCATCAGCACGGTGTCCAGCTGCGTCTGCAGACTCAGGCTCTGTTTGTGGTTGCTGGTGATCTCGGAGCTGCCGCTGACGGTGGTCTCTGTGATCAGCTCCACCTCCACCTGCTTCTTCTCCACCTGAACCACAGCAGCAGCAGCCTCAGTGTTGACAATGTTGCTAAAAGCAGGTTGATTTGTTGCTAAAAGTTGCTACAGGATCTTGTGATGTCATTGGGTGATGATGACGTCATTATGTAACGAGGACGCAAAACCGCATCATTGCATAGAATCCACAATACATCATTCTAAATACGTTCATAAAAATAAGATCAATTTAATTTAGACTATCTGTAAAAGTAATATGAACACAACATGTTAATGATTAGATATTTTCACGTTTAAAAACTACACTGAATTGAACCGTTGCACATTTTTGAACAATTACTTGTGATGTATTTTCTTATAAACTATAAGACTACACATTCAGAACAATTATAACTTTAAGCAGTATACTGGTAGTTAGTTAGTTAGTATGCTACAGTTTCAGAAAAGTCCATAAGAACAGGGCACAATATTAATTTCACAGGTGTTTTACCTGTATTTTACATTCCACATTGTATTTTGTGTTAGGTTTACAGGAAATATCTGTAAACTTACATAATATCCTGTCAGAAAATTACCAGTACCTCTTCTGCTTGTCTTACAGTGTACCTAACTGATCAACAACAGACAAACTAATAACAATGGGTATCTTAAATGAAGAAATATTATTTAACTATTACTGCTAGGCACTTCTCTCCAACTGTCTACAGACTGGCTTTTTGTGTAATTTAGAGGGAAAATCTATGCCTTTTTATCATTTTATTCACTTTTAAAAAGTTGCTAAAAGTTGCCAAATTATTTTTAAAAATAGCTCAACTTGCAACAGAGTTGCTGAGATGTCCAGACTGAGCGCTGTGTTGTTTGTACCTGTTTGGTGTACCAGTTCTCGGCCTCCCGGCGGTTCTTCTCGATGGCCATCTCGTACTCGGAGCGCATCTCAGCCAGCACTCGAGACAGATCCGTGCTCTCGATCTCCTTCACATCCACCGTCATGGTGCCCATCATCTGCCCACGCAGGGCTATCATGTCCTGAGTTTCACAAAACCAGTTTAAAGAGGCCTGGAACTAACATTCTAGCTTGTGTTGTTTAGTGTGTTTAGCAAGACAAACATTTAAAAAAAAAACATTAAAAACCAATTGACATTTCATTTTTTTTCTCCCTCTCCCTTTCACTCGATATATTCATTTGTGTCCCTGGAGCACAAAACCAGTCAAAGGGGTACATTTTTTTAAATTGAGACGTATACATAATCTGAAAGCTGAATAAATAAGCTCTCCATTGATG